ATTAAATCTATCGCTTAGCCCACTTTACCCATATGCCTACCAAGTGATATCTATGTCTACTTTTATAAAAATTTAGCACCCTACTAAGCTCCAATCTATGAAAGGAACATGACGATGTATCCCGATGTATTGGAGAGCCGGCACTTTCGACTAGTCCTCGTTTTGGAGCACTAATGGAGTCCATAATCTTCGATTATGACATCCAAATCACTCCACTAGGCAAAAGCTCTCTCTTGATGCCAATGGACGTATCTAGAACTTCAAATGTCCAAGAGAACCAAATAGCACGAGTGGAGGGTGTATATATAGGACTCACCCTAAAAACTAGCCGTTGGAACTCCACTCAGCCAAAATACACTCACTGAAAAGCTACGATGGTGTCTTTGGATGAGCACCAGATTCTGATGCATTTCCAATGGCAACTAGCCATTACTGTTCTGCCCTTTACTCCGATGCTTCTCCGGTGACACCATTGCAGAATTCCGGTGGCCCAAAAACAATTTTGGAAAAGGTTTTTGGCCAGGGTTGAAGCTCCGGTGACCTCACCAGAAAATTCCGGTGGGTTTGGGAGCTCTTTCTTCCCTGTGCTGCTTCACTATGCACTTAGACTCAGAGCCTAAGCTCCGGTGATATTTATCTGGTGACCACATGAGAATAGTCCTTTAATTAGCACAGTACTATGATAGTCATTTAACACATGGCTTAAGCTCTCTAGTGCTCCTCTGATTCTAGCACTTTTGAAATCCAATGGTCTTGTAAACCCTCCATTTCATCCAATTCAATCACTTTTGAAAATGGCTCGACTTCCAATTGATCTTAGGGCTTCATCTGAGCTATGACCTAGCGCCACATTCATTCACTAGGCTCACCTATGTCAAGCTACCCACTCATACCCCTCTTTATAGTACGGCCAAAAGATAAAACAAAACTGAAACTACTCTAAGGCCTCCCAACAGTAAATAGCACTTAGAAACACGATAACCATTGTTAGGGGCACGAAAACCATAATTGTCTGTCAATCAATCATCATTGTGACCTCACTAATTAATGTCGTTGTAAAACACACGTTAGTCATAATGATTATGATGATATTAATCGCCAAGACCGAATTAGGGCCTAGATATGCTTTCAAGTAAATCTTTTATATAAATTTGGTCAAACTTCATATGATTTGATGACTTAGAACAAAGCTAGAATTGTATTCCTTTGCATGAGATGTAGTGGAATGTGTAGTCATATGGTTCATTTAAAATGTTATTGTTGCATCACTAATAATGGCCCACAAAATTAATGGGTGGCTGTGTATATATCTTTTAGTGACAAGTTGGTAATTGTAACTTGTAAGATATTTCTTCTTTTCTCTTATAGCACAAGTAATTCTGGTCATCTCCATTTTCTTATATGATCACAGCTATTATATTAATATTTTATTCTGTTTTTACGTACAAGTTCAGGCTTCAGGGCATACTCAACTTTGTTATGAGAAAAGTCTACGCGTTAGCATGTATGGAGGATTCAAGAAGGTACGAAATGAAACATTTTCCGTGCTTTAGACACTATGACTGCGAAACATATTATTAGCGACAAGTTAAGAAGTTGTAGAAGTTGAAGGAAACAGACAATAAACTTTATCTGTGTTCTCAATCGCAATTGAAGCTTGAATGAACTTCATTGTTCAATATGTTTTTCTTTGAAAAAGTAGGCCCATCCCCTACGGGTTGTTATATTATCAGAAAAGGCATATTGTCCAACAATATTTTAAATTTTAATAATAAAGCTTGTTCTGGCCAGAGCTGTTCGGCTGATGGTTTCTGCGACTGATAAGCCAGCTGAAGCTGTTTGTTGCGAGAGAAAAATACTGTTCCATGGCTGATAAGTTTAAGCTAATTTGTTTCATTTTTCTTAGAATTATCGCACATGCTGCCGTACTTTTAAATTAGCTTGCATCGCATCGTATTAATATTACTCAATTTGTTCCAAATTATAAGATATTTGATTTTTGTAGATACATAGTTTTTACTATACATTTAAATACACTATGTCTAAATATATAGTAGAAACAATGTATCTCGAAAAAATAAAAAGTCTTATAATTTGAAACTAACAGAATAGTTTCGTATGAACTTCTGATCTCGTCTTGTTTCCCGGTTTCTTATTATGAGGTTACAGGATCGTTATCGGGCACAGCGACGGAATAGCAATTGTGGATATTGATCATTATGACACTGCAAACTGATATTGGCCTGTTCGTTTGGCTGATAAGCCATGGCTAAAAGTACTGTTGGCTGATTTGTTGTGAGAGAAAAATATTGTTCGTTGGCTGAAAAAGTACGGCTTATAAGCCAAGCGAACAGGGCGACAGTGATATGTCAACTAGGGCCACCTTTTTCGTGTTGGTAGCTGCTGTACAGGGGCGAACAAGCTAGGGGTAAAATTCCCAACCACCGCCATTACCATACGTCCTCCTCCACCTTATTGCCTCGGTCCCCACTCCTCTCTTCTTACCGGAGATCTCGCTGGTGGACAAAGGAGCGGGAACCTAATCTCTTCATAAGGCCAATGAATTTGGTTGGCTTTCGATGCGACAATCTCAACTTATTATATTTTTTGCTCTACAACAAGGTTTGACATCTTCGACACTCTGTTTGGATGGTGAAGGACTGTAAGTCTACGTTATTTGGAGGGTTCCTCAAGGCTCTAGTCGATGTTCTTCAATGGGTTCTAGATCTCAATGTCAGCGTCGAGTGGCTTTTGTGGTCTTCAAAGCCTTGTTCGGCGAGAGTATTTGTATGTGTCTCTTTTCTGAGGCTTTTACCTGTGTGTCATTATAAAAGTTGATAATTATCAACAAGCCATTAAAAAATTAAGTTCTCACAGGTGCCACTGCTCTAAATTTTTTTGTCCTCCATGCCACTTCTGTCAGATTTAGCTCTAACGGTGTCAAACGGCGGGTGTGAAAAGTCAAAAATACCATTTGAATATGCAATTAATTTTTTGGGCATCTTAATGACCTCAAATGAAAAAACTCAAAACTAGAAAGTTATAGATCTCGATAGCAAAAATTATCTTCATTTAATTTCATAAAAAAATGATTTGGTATGATTAATATGTCTTAGAAAAATCACATTTTTTGTTTGGAATCAAATGAAGATATTTTTTATATAAATACTGTAGATCTCGACGAGATCTACAACATTTTAGTTTTGAGTTTTTTCATTTGAGATCGTTAAGATGTTCAAAAAAGTTAATTGCATATTCAGACCTGAGGGTATTTCGACTTTTTATACCTGCAGTTTGACACCGTTAGAGCCAAATCTGACGGAAATGGCGTGGAAGGCAAAAGAGTTCAGAGCAGTGGCACCTATGAGAACTCAACTTTTTAATGGCTTATGAGGTAATTACCAACTTTTATAATGACACATAGGTAAAAGCCTCCTCGTTTCTGTGCTGTCTTTACCGTGTGATCTTTAAGCACCAGCAGTTAGTGGACGATCGAAGGAAGAAGGCGACCGATTTGGTCTTTAATATACTCTTATTTTTTTAAGAGACCATTTTATGTTTTGTTGTCTATTTTTTGTATTAGCCTTTGTTTTCCTTGAGATATATCAGTTGTGTTGTTTCTATGAAAAAACTACCGAACAGGGAACATCTCTAATGTATCAGCTTATATTTGGACTTACGGAAAAGACAAAACTCTTTTTCGTTGTTCTTAATTTAATAAAGCTTGTTATAAAAAAAATGGTGTCTGAACCTACGCTGTATCGCTGTATTGCTGTGACGCGTTACGCCTTGGAAGGTAGTAGCTGCCAACGCTGGATCGGCCACAGAATAGTACAGTTCCTGCATTCAATTGATTTGCCCTCTTTTTTGTTGCTGGTAAAATATTTTTTGGTTCACTGTTACGTATGCGCCCTGCGGACGAGCAGTTCGTGCACCGCAATCTGAACGACGCAGCCGGTGGTGACACGTATCACACGGGATATTGTTGTGAAATAAGAAAGTACGAAAATGAAGGTCATTTTCAGATGCTAATAATAAGCCTGCGAGGCAATCATCAAGATCGAGAGTCCTTGTCGTTGGCAGGATCAGCTCGTGCGGCTGCTTCTGGTTAATCGCGCGTGCAACGGCCTGAATAACCAAAAGCTTTCGAACCAGTTGATTCAGGCGTTGCCTAGTTCGATACAACTGCCCTGCCAGAACAATTTCGAGTACCAATATTGTCTGATCAAGGTGGTGACCAATTGACTAAAACATTGCAATCGAAAAAAAACTGGTGTTCTGAGCACAAAAGGGTATCTTGGCAGCAGATTAAATGTTTGCAAAATTCTGTCAATGCTACCAAACTTGTGAACGAAGGAATAGCAAATATGACCTTAAACCAAATAGTTAACGAACATCGGACCTATTCGGAGATGATGACACTTTTACTGTCAAGATGAAGGTTGACTGGTTGAGCAAGGCTCGTCTTTTGCAGGTTCTGCTACAGGAACCTGCTTATTGCTAGGTTTTGCAGACAGTTCTCCACAAAACTGTGCTTCGTCAGCAGCAGCCAAAAAAAAAAAAAAAAAAGCGTAGCAGACTCAACGGACAGAGCAGATCTCAGTACTAATCCAATTGAAAAAAAATTATAAATTCGGAAGCAATCTGCTGCACCAGTAAACCAGAGCCAGAGCATATTTGTAACAAAAGTACACCTTACATAAGTTCAACTCATCTGTACATTTATGGTTTACTATTGTTATCTTACAATAAGTATGCACCAGAGCAAACAGAATCCACATAGGCCCCGTTCGTTTCGCTGAAAAAACAAGCCGAAACACTGTTTTGGCTGATTTGTTGTGAGAGAAAAATACTGTTCCGGCTGAAAAAACAAGCTGAAAAAGACGGATTATAAGAGAAGCGAACAGGGCCATAATGACCAAAGAACCAATCACCCTGTAATGGGACGGGCTATTAAACTATTAGCCCCAAACTTAGAAAAATCTAACTACAATTTCTCCTCAATGCAGCCGGAACAAATTCTCAATGGAAGGGCCAATGGACAAAACTTCGTCCACCCTTAGGTTCACATGGGGCCTGGAAATGGTAAATAAAGCCAAGCCATTATTGGTGATCTTGGCACAGCCATTTATATGCAGAACTTCGAGGCGCGGACAGCCATTGCCGAGGGCCAGCAAACTCTGGTCACAGATGTGTCGGCAGCGGTTCACATGCAGCACTCTTAGCTTATTGCAGTACAGCCCGATTGCAGACCAGCCAGGTAAATGGACCCCGTGGCAGACAGCAAGGTTCCACTCCTCAAGCAATGGGCACCCACTGGCTATTGCTGTCACGGAATCATCTGTGAGGTAGCGACACATCCTGAGATTCAGGATGCAGAGGCTTTTAGCAAAAGCAAGGTTACCCAGGCCATCCAGACCAGTTGAGCTTCCTAACTTGTGCAAGTTCAGGTACTTGAGCCCACTGCCACTAACTACGTCCAACAAACCATCTGGAGAAAACATGCAAGACTCAGCTTCAAGGTAACAAAATGAACTTGAACAACCTCTGAATCCAACACCAGACAGACGCCTGCAGCCTGTAATGATTAGTGTGCAAATGTTTGAACAATTGCTAAGGATTGCAGAAACCCCTTGGTCTGAAATGCCCATGCAAGAACCAATATTTACACTCTTCAAAGCGTGGCAGCCTTTTGAAAGACTTCCCAAACCAACATATGTAATATTAAAGCAGCTTTGAAGTTCAACAACCACCAAATTAGGGCACCCAATTGCCACCTGTGCTAGACCATCATCTGTTATACCAGAACAGCAGTAGAATGAAAGGGATTTTAGAGATGATCCAGACATTCTCAGTGTGCTCAAAGCTGACTCAGGTAGCTCTGTGAGTCCAGCAAGGGATATCCGGTTAAGACAAGGTGAGTGAGCCAATATCTTGGGGATGCACTTGGCATGCTCCTTGTCTATTGTAGGGTTAAAAGAACAATGGAACGTTAGTGATTTCCGACCAAGGTTTCGAACCTTGAACCAATTCTTGCAAGTTAAACCAAAAGCACTCCTCTCTGACTCACTTTCTAGCTTGTTAAATATAGAAAGCAAGCAATCATCAGATAGGTAACTGATGGAGTTCTCTAAGCTGACATCTATTGTCTCTCTTTCCATATTTGACTTACTGAGTCCTGTCTGAAGGTTGGAGTGCTTGGATCTTTATTAAATACTTCTGGGATGTACTGGAGGAAGATGAACTTGCTGGATCAAAACTACACAAAACAGCTGGCTCACCGTATCCGTAGCCAATAGATGCTCCACATTTTCGGCAGAGAAGCTTAGTTTTTGGCCTGTAACTACGCCAGGCGAGGGGAAAGCAAGATACTTCGTCCACCTGAGTAAATCGGCTGAGATCAACAGAAATGAATGAAATCAGTCCTTTCTTCAGAGACTTCTTATATGAGGATCCTACTTCAGATGTGCTTCGGTTAGAAGATGAAAGGTTTAGAGGGTATCCACAAGATCCACAACTGTCAATACAAATGTAATTGTTGTCAGGACATAGATACAATATATGGTACCCAGAAGATGACATTGCATTAAAGAGATGTTTGACCAATCGAGCTGATACTTAGAAGCCAATAGTATTACATTGAACTCATCTTGCTATTAGTGATAACTGTATCAAATAAAATAAAAACTGCATTTGGCAGCTGAGGGAAACAGCAACGAGAAAAATATGGTATCATTAATGCCATGACAGAGAAAAGAAATTAACAAACAATTTACCTATCTAAGAAAATATCATTTCACATGAAGATTTTCCTTGGTGTTAATGAGGAAATGAGAAATGAATGCTTTTTCATCATCTTTATATATTACATAGCAACCGTAATGACATTTATGATTCCAAATATTATCAATGGTTGAATCCTAACAAGTTACTACCCGCAAAGAGTGGCGTCAAACTATCTTATGTTTGACCAAGTTTATAGAGAAGATTCTTAACATTTATGACACCAAATAGATTTACTTTGAAAATATATTTCATGATAAGTTTAATGATATTTATTTGGTATCATAAATATTGGTATTTTTTCGTATAAGATTAGTAAACTTATAGATTGTTTGACTTAGGACAAAACCAGTATGACACTTGACAGAGGCAGTATATAAATACATGGGGTGTTGTCCAGCGTCCAGACTTCTATGTATATAGAAATTTTCAATCAGTTGTGTAAACAAACTACATCACTACACTTGCTGATGAGCATCGAACCAAAACAGCTGACGCTAACGCAAAACCCTTGTAACGTCCTTTTACTATGTTTCAAGTTTCCATTGGCTAACTGTAATCCGACAACGGATGACACCTACCGTGCAAATGTACGTTGCTTTATGTTCAGTTTCAAGGAGCAGCGCCACGAGAACACAAACTCTAAGTTTTACAAGGTCATTCCAGCAGCAAGCCCAGGTGTAGCGTGCTCACACGGCTGTCCACAAGAAAGGATATTGCAAGGCGAATCCCGACAAATTCAGACATCACACGAAACCGTTGCACGGATGAGCTCACTACAGCTTCTGGAAATTAGTGTAGCCCCCCAAATTCCAGCAGCATGACTCTTTTTTCGGCAACAAATAGATGGCCATCAAGTTAGACATTCTAAGTAACAAACATCGTGGGTGCATCACCCAAACAACCTGTATCCTGGTTGGTAAATCAGCTCAATTAGACTAAGGATTACTTCATCAGGCCAAGACCGTGCCCAATTTCTGATCAGGCATGTAGAATACATACAGTATACAGGCCAAGACCGTGCCCAATTTCTGACCAAGCACAAGGGTTATGGATTGCGTATTTCCTGTTCTTGGTTCAGAAACTAGAATAGGACACCAAGATTCCCACTCCAAAATCAAGGTATCACCCCCAGGACAGCTATCAGCAAAGAATAATAATAATTCAATCACCCAACAGCATCCATCCATGGCCCACCCCGATTCACCCGTAACCACAGGCAAGAACCGGATCCAGACTCCTCGCCTCCCACCAGAACGACCGAAAAATGGATCAATTGACGGTGGAATCGAGCGAGTGAGCGGTGGTAAAAATCACCTGTACTCGACGTCGCGCTGGGACATCCTCGGGCCGCAGGAAGATCGGGAAGTCTCATGGATCTAGGCGACGTCGCCTGGGGCAGTGGGCCGCGGTCAGGCGGAGGCGGCCATGGTCGTTGAGAGGCTCGTTGGTTTGCAGGTGGAGGGCCGGAGGGGAAAGGAATTTGGGGGAAATGACAATGACTTCGGCAATCTTTGGCTCAATGGCTCCTTGGGGGCGGGCGGGCGGACGGACGCGCGGGCGGCCGGCGGCAGACGTGTGTGCGACTCCGTTCCTGGTCGGCCGGCTGTTTCTGTTTGACTCTACCGTTGCCGTTTCGGGTTATTAAAGTGGCTGATGCGTGCAGGGGATTATTAGTATTTTTTTATTTAAAAAGCTCCTTTTTCTGTTCTATAGACAAGCGGTCTCTTGTGAAAGAAAAATGACTTTAAAACATGTGGTGTTGTAGTAGAACTGATGAATTTTTTCCTATCATTGAAAGGTCAAGAACATCCCAATGACATTCAGTTGTGAGATTTATTTAGTGGAAATAAAGCTCAAGCAAAGATGGAAGTGTCTAGGTGATATTTAGTTGTTTTGGCCTCTCCTGTCGAATTTTTTCATGCACTTACATTGTTATCTAGCTACATTTACACTATCTTACTACTATATTTATAATAATTTCTTCAGTGTAATTTGTTGAACATGGTGATGTAATTTGGGGATAACACAATATCTCAAACAAATATATGCTAAATTTAAAAAAAAATTACAAATTTTTCCATGGATTCCAGGTACGAGAGAAATATATGTCAAATTATTTATAAATGTCATCAAATTATTCACAAATTTACAAATGGACAGAGCAGAGAAGATCTCGTCTTGGAGCAGCAGAACAAGGGAGAGGAAGAGATCGAGGACGGCGGCGCACCGGGGACAGCGGCGCCCGCGCCGGGCGGCGGCGGCGGCCTGGCGACGTCCTGGGTGCGGTGACCCGGGGGCGGCAGCTTGGGGGCAGAGCGCGGAGCGGGGAGGAAGCCGCGAGTGTAGAGATGTGCAACGGATGGATGGCAGATCGGGCTTTCTATGCGGATCGAGCGCACACCAATTCAGCTGATGGAGGCCAAGAATCAACCTGTTGAGAAATAGCATTTCTCATAAAAGATTCTTAGTGGCAATAGGATGATAAGTTGCTTGTTTGGTCCAAAAATAACTGCACATTTCGCTTTTCAAAAGTTAAACTTTTTAAGTTCAGTCAAATCTCTACTATACGAAGAAGGAAGTGTCTGTTAGTCTGCCAATCCGTTCTCGTCCAACCTCTCCGACTCCGCCCGCCTACGTGCGCGCCTTCGGGACCAAATTCTTATACAGCGCGCGTGCGCCGAGCGAGCTAGCAACGCGCGTTTTCTATTTTCGGCACCTGCCTCTTCTAACATCTGGCACCTTCCGTTTTTGTTCTGGATATCTGAAACGTTGTCGCCATTTAAAATATTTCAAACAGCACCACCTATTTCTCCTTTCTTTCCGCTCAACGAGCGTTTCTTCTTCTAGCAGGAGGCGGAAGCTCCTACGCCGCCACCACAGGCTCGATTTGGGTGGCCCCAACTGATCTTCCCCATCCACGGCCCCAATTGATCTTCCCCGTCAACGTGGAGGCGAAGAGGGCCGTCAAAGTCGTGGCCATCTGGATTCGCCGCCAAGCGAGGCCTCGATTTGGGGCGGATTCGGCGACGCGCCTCGCTTTGAGGCGGGCGGGCGGAGGCTGATTCAAGCATGCTTGGGCCGAGGAGTGAGGGCCCTCTGAATCCGCCGCCCGTCGAGACCCGGCATCTGCAGTCGGGACCGGGAACAAGGATCCGAACTCTATTGCGACATTTACCTACCAGCCACGCGGCTACGAGGACATCGACATCGTCACCGGAGACGGTCTCGAACGACTCCAGCTCCTCTAGGTACGCCGCCACCGCTTCGTCCGCCAAATTGACCCCCGCTCTTCACCCCTCTGCTCCCACCGGTGCACGTCAAGAGATTTGTATGCATTGCGCCGATCGTTCCGTGATCCCCAACGTCGTGTTCCGCGGGTCGCCAGACATTGGTGTCGACTCGCCGTCATGGTGGTCTCCCTTTTGCGGCCGATGCTCACAGTTAGGCGCCCGCATGGTCCTGGACAAAGGCGGTTGCTAGTACATATAAAATATATACTAGTATTTATGAACATCTCGCTTTTTAAAGAGTCAAACTTTTTTAAAGTTCAGTCAAACATATATAGAAATATATTAATATTTATGACACATAATATGTATTATTAGACTAAATGTGTTTTCAAAATAAAAATATTAGAAGATATAAATGTTGATAATATTTTAGTCTAATCAAACTTAAAAATGTTAGACTTCTAAAAAAAAAGATGTGCTAGAATGGATGGAGTGCGTAATGATCTAAGAACATCTGGATATAAAGAAAAAGAGAGAAAATATGAGAAGCACCGTGAACTCCACAAAGTGGCTTTAGCGATAAGATGATGTCAAATGACGAGTGTCCAAAAGAAAGAAGCTAAAAAATAGATTTTTGGGTTGTAAAAAATTATTAGGTGAAGAAAAACAACTTACTCAAAGAGTGCTCTATACGTAGCGTCTAGAAGCTTCGGGAATGGCGCGCATCAGGTGGGCCAACTTTGTGGTGGGTTATATGCAAATATGCCATGACTAAAAAATATAGTGAAAATAATATATAATTTCTTGGGGCACCCTTTTTCGAAAGTTGGATATCTTGGATTCTTGGGCATGGTGGCCTGTTGCTTTGTTGGTTGTTTGACAAGTGTCGGTGTTTTTGACCATCGACGAGTAAATTTGTATTTGCGCGTCTGACTTGGATTGTGTGCTCGGAGGACACGAGGGTTTATACTGGTTCGGGCGGAACGTCCCTACGTCTAGTTCGCTGCTTCTCGTGTTACCGGCACTTGGTTTGCAGTAGATGTTACAAACAGGCGAGAGAGGGAGAGGATCCCAAGTCTCTGGTGGAAGGAGTGAATAGGTGCTGAGAGCTCGCTTGCCGCTCAGCCGTGTGCTCGTGTCGTGCTCTTGTGTCAAGATCCCCCTAGATCTCCCCTTTTCATGGGGCGCCCTGCTTCCCCTTTTATAGGCGAAGAGAAAGCGCGGGTTACATATGAGAAAAAGGAGAAGAACGAGAGAGAAGAAGGCTTCCAGGGTTGTCGGGTTCTTCTCCTTCATGCGGGTCCCACCGATCTTGTAGATGTCAATAGGGACAGCTCCATGTCGCGGCCCTGTTCGTTACTAGCGCCAAGCGCAGGCGCATCTGTCAGTCATGGCGTTCCACTCCGTCCCCGCGGACGTCGTGGTAAACTGACGCGCCTGTCATCGTCCGTACGACGAATAGGCAGAACAGCACCGGCACGCCCGACACTGTTCTTGATGTGAAACCCCAGGTATGGCCCGTCATGGCCATGGGTTACATCGAGGCGTGCCAGCCTCTTCCCTGGCGTCAGAGTTTTGACCGAGGCCCATATGCTTGGACCTGGAGTGGTTGAAGGCGGTATAGGTCCCCGTCGGACGAGACGGAACCCGCATCCTCGAGGTCGAGCGAGACGGAAACCGCGTCCTTGGGGTCGGGCGAGACGGGGCCTACACCCAATGGGGTCGGGCAAGACGGAGCCCGCGGCCTCGAGGTCGGGCAAGACGGAGCCAGCACCCTCGAGGTCGGGCGAGACGGAGCCCACGGCCTTGGGCGAGACGGAACCCGCGTCCTTGGGGTTGGGCGAGACGGAGCCTGCACCTAAGGGGTCGGGCGAGACGGAGCCCGTGGCCTCAAGGTCGGGCGAGACGGAGCCCGCGACCTTGGGGTCGGGTGAGACCTTTTAATACGTCTTGAGCCATCTGGGGAAGTCAGCGTGGGCGCTAACTTCCTTACTTTGGGTATCCCTAATATCGATACCCGACAGTAGCCCTCGAGCCTGCGGAGGAGTAGAATACTCCTTTGGAGGCTTTTTCGAACGCGGGGACTCCGAAGGCCTTGGCCTTCTTTTTGTAGCCCGCGGCGTGTCCTGGTAGGACGACGATTCTCTTTTGTCGTGATCGGTCTTCTTGGGGGCATGTAACCATAGGATTCGGGAGGTCAGAAAGATTTTTCTTGATTCCGGTCACCTAGGATCTGATCGGCCCGCCGTCGTACTGCGACCGTGCGTTCGGTCTCCTTGAGAGTCCAACTTCCCTCGAGCCCCCGCGCATAGCAGGGGTCTGGTCGAGGGTCGGCTCATCTTTGTGATCGTCATCCCTCAAGCATTTTTTTTGATAAAACGGAGGGGCTGAGCCGTGCCACGTTCTTCCTCGATGGACGAAACATGGTGCTCGGTGAGCTATTAACGGACTAGTCCGAGTGGGGCCTCGGTTTCCCATTCGTGGGGGTCCGGCATGGGTCAGCTGGTGACCGACTCTAGGCTCTTGGAGGCCAATTCATATAGTTCTTAGGTCCGTTCGGCCAGTCCCAAGGGCTTGTTCCCTTTCTTCGAGGAAAAACCATGGACTGGGAACCGACCAAGACTCGAACGTGGGCCGGGATAAACACGGCGCTCGTGCGCCCGGGTATTGGCCGCTAGTAGGCCCATCCCTTTCCACCCCTCGCCTTAAGGGTGCCTCGGAGTGGCTGTGAACCCATCGGTGGGCTAGCCTTCGAACTCCTGGTCCTAAATGGACCGTAGGAGCATTTTCAGCTCTATATCCCTCCTTACCTGCGACAGTTCTTGGCCCATCGACCGAGTGAACCGTCATCCAGCGTGTCCTTCGAGGGCGCAGCCAGAGATAGCGTGCGCACGATCTTTGGAGGGAGGTAACATGACGCGGCGCAGTGGGCGTGTGAACCTAGGTGGATGGTTTGCCTTCTTGCTCCGCTCCGTCTTATAAATAACGACCTCCCCCTTCATGTTTCTGGACACCAAAACCATAGCCTGACGTTCTCCGTTTCTCCGTCGCCGCCATTCAGATCTGCCGTGCTTGCTAATCCACCACCGGAACCCTAGATCTGTAGCTTC